AATAACAACGCATGAAACGCAGATAAAAAACAATACTGTTAAAATAACAATTAATATCATACCCAACATAGTATTTGTTAAATCAAAAATAAATGTATCATTAACAAAAATTGAACTATTAAATAAACTCTGGTTCTAACAAAACTGCAAAAACCACAATCAAAAATTTAATCCAAAAGTATTCTTAAATTTGATTTTTATTAAAAACCAAGAAAATACACAAAAACAATAAATGAAAAAAGGCATAAAAAAACTATAAAAATTTATAAAAGCAAAAAAAAAAAAAAAAATCAAAACAATTACATAAAACTATCACTGTTTATATAATATAATAAAAAAAAACTTCTTAAATTCATAACAAAAATAAACATCATACTAAAAACAAAAAAAAAAACAACGCGTACACAAAACTTTCTTAAACTTTAGAAAAACTTGCATCCGAAGTGCGAGACCTTAAATTACAACGTAAAGTACGTCCCACGCTTTCTTTACTCTTCTGATGTTTACTTTTCTTTTGATAATAACTATTATTTACAGATCCTTCTGCATCATCTTTCTGACGAAAATCTTCATGATCGTTAACCTCTTCCGCATAAGAAGCACCAACTGACCCTTCAAATACATCACTATTAACTTGCTTCGGTAAACATGAACTATTAACCGAATTTGACTCAAAACCACTACCTAAACCTATCGAAATATCATTTTCAAAATTTCCATCCACAATTTCAGTAAAATCTTCACAAGCCGTAGAACCCCCATGAACAGAATCATCAAAATCTTCGACTCGAGCACGTTTTGATGAATAAAGATTATCCGAAGAACTTAATTCTGACTTATTCGCATGATCACTCTTAGAAGATGAAACGACTGTCTCATCTTCAAACTTCACTTTCGAAATTTCTAAGAAATTTTGATGAGTAGCCAAAAGCTTAGAACGAATATTTTTCTTAGACGATGAAGCCTGAGAACCACCACAACCAAAAATACTCTTTTTGTTAAGAAACTGTGCATCAATATAATTAACATCCTTAGCATACACGTAGAACTCATTACTAATTATCTCCATTTGCCCAACGACAAAAATAAAAGACTCTCTGGGTCTAATATTATTCTTTAAAAAACTAAAACGAGAATGATTACAC